ATACCCTGTATTGGTTCTGGGAAGTCGGGGGGGGGAGGTTGGAGGGGTGGGGGGGGAGGGGGGGGGGAGGGAAGCAAATATTTGTAAAAGTTTTTTTAAAATTCTCAATAAAAAAAGAATATATTAGTAATATTAAACCCAATAGTCTTAGCAGTCATATTTGTAAGAATCACCATATTGTTTACATCTCTGTCTTAACGTATTTTCTACATTTCACTGATCTCCATTTATTTCTAACTTCTGTTTTTGTTCTCCAACCATCCATAAAATAGCTCCCATGTCCTATAATATTCAGTGTGTTCTTTCTCCTTTATAGCTACCGTTAACCTATTCATTTCTGCACATTCTAATATTTTCCCAATCACGGTCTTATCAGTAAGAATCTCTTCATCCTTCCAGTTTTGTGCAAATACCATTCTAGCTGCAGTTAGCACATGTATGATTAAATATGCATTCCCTTTACTATAGATTTTACTATAGTATAGAACTGGGAGATTTCAAAGTATGAATAATTGGCTGCAACAGATTGGTACAAGGATATTCTTCTATATGTGTATATTTTTGCCGTACCTTTCGTTGATTACTTGCATCATCTTGGGCTTGTTCTGACTTTGTTGCATGTTGCCCATTGTCAATAGACAATTTGTCAATATTCCTATGATTTGGTAGGAACCTTATGGATAAATTGGTCAAGGAATGTGCTCAAACCCTTCAATTAGATACTTACAGTTTCATTTACATCTTCCCATTCTACTTCAGAAAGGTCGACGCTGTTGTAATTGGGTTTGGGCTTCAGCTTTTTTCCTTCTTTGTACTGGAATATTTGTGGGGGGGGGGAGAAGGAAAGACGAGTTAGAAAGATGCACTATTTTTTTTTAAGGAAACACTTTTTCCTCCCTTGCTGATTTTACTATGTTTGTGTCTACTGTTGAAAGATGTTCTAGGTCAGTGATGGCGGAACTTTTTCACCTCAGGTGCCAAATAATTTAACCCCCATAATTTAATGACCCTCCCATGCCGTGCCTCCTGAGCATCCACGTGTGACACACACACACACCCCACTGCCCGGCACATGCACGCATGGCTTTCTTGGAGCCTGGGGAGGGCAAAAAACAGCCCAACATGCAAACTGGAAGTTTGGGAACGGACTTCCAGGTTGCCCGTTGGGTCATTTTTCTCCCTCCGCAGGCTTCAGGAGACTTCACTGAAGCCTCAGGAGGGAGAAAAACGGCCGAAAATCAAGGCCGAAAATCAACTGGCCATTGCACACATGCCAACACCTCATGTGCCCTCGAAATTGGTTCCATGTGCCACCTGTGGCCCATGTGCCATAGATTCGCCATCATGGTTATACGTGTTATTAGGAGCTGTGGTGGCACAGTGTTTAGAATGCAGTACTGCAGTGAGTGACTCACAGCTCACTCCAGGAATTCAGTCCTGATAAGGCTCAAGGTTGACTCAGACTTCCATCCTTCCGAGGTCGGTAAAAATGAGGACCCAGATTGTTGGGGGCAAGAGGCTGACTCTGTAAACCACTTAGAGAGGGCTGTAAAAGCATTATGAAGTGGTATGTAAGCCTGTGCTGTTGCTATTATTGTTGAATGAGGAAAATGCAGTTGTTGTGCTCTTCCATTCATTTTGCCCTCTAGACAAAGGTGAAATTGTGTTCAACATCTTCCACACTTTTACTATTACAGAAAGCAAAATAATGCTAGTTCTCATGGCATCACTAGGAATAGAAGATTGTACAGAAGATAAGACTTTTTTTCTGACAAACACAGGTAGTCCTCTACTTATGGCGATTCATTCATTGATAATTCAAAGTTAGAACAGCCTAGAAAAAGTGACTTATGATCTGTTCTTGAAGTTACAATTGCCGCACCACCCCAGTGGTCAACTTGTTGTAATTTAGGTAGTTGGCCTGAATCACATGATCACAATAGTAATCTTCCAAGCAAAATCAATTGGGGAAACTAGATTTGCTTAACAACCATGTAGAGCCGAGGTGGCGCAGTGGTTAAATGCAGCACTGCAGGCAACTTCAGCTGAATGCAGTTCTGCAGTTCGGCTGTTCAAATCTCACCGGCTCAGGGTTGACTCAGCCTTCCATCCTTCCGAGGTGGGTAAAATGAGGACCCGGATTGTTGTT